AAAAAAAAAAAAAAAAAAAAGAAAAGAAAAGAAAAGTAATTAGCCAGGGATGGTGGCATGTTTCTGCCTTCCTAGCTACTCAGGAGGCCAAGTCAGGAGGACACTTGATCCCAGGAGTTTGGTACTGCAGTAAGGGATGGTTGAGCCAGTGCACCCCAGCCTCGGTGACAGAGTGCGAGACCGTGTCTCTACAAAAAATTAAAAATCTATAAAATGGAGGGGAATAAAGGACATTTCATCCATTCTCTTGTTTCTGTTGCTTCTGTTCCTGCATTATTGCTGTTGAAACTGGTCCTGCAGTCCGGTAATGATTGACCTTTGCTACCAGGATGCTCTTGCTGATCCACATCCCTCCATCTTCTTAAGACTTTATAATTACAGCTTTTTTTAGTTCACATTTGAATGCTTACATGCTCAGCTATCTTTCTCAGAGCACCAGTACCCTGCTCTGCCAGCTAGACCTCCTGGCTTTAGCCACACATGTAGTGAGCAAACTGACCCCTCCGTCACACTCAAAACCCTTGTGGAGACCTTATCTTAACCTAGAGTTACCCTGGACCTTCATGGTAAGTTATCCTTGAGGCCCTTATTTTTCTTTTCTCTAGCAAGTCATAGTTGGGATTGTTCTAAAGTGTTAGAGAGGTTCAAATAATGTTTGAAGAGACTAGAATTCCCTTACCTTTTTGCTACCATGTCTGTGCCCTGACGCTCCTGTGTATATACTCTGTAGCACATTTTCTTGGTAGTGAAGGTTCTCCTATTGTCCCTCTCCAAAGTAGGGGGCGCCAACTCACAGTTGGCCCACCAACTGATTGGTTTTTGATAATACTGAAAACCTAAATTCTGCCTCACAAGAAAACCATCCAACAGAATTCTCTGAGTCTAAAGTTAGGATAGTAGGATTTAGCAGATCCACCCTCATCTGTGACTCCTAAGTGTCCACATATAAAAGAAGGGCTCTGTGCTCACTTCCGCAGCACATGCACTAAACTTGGAACCATGCAGAGAAGATCACCATGGTCCCTGCCCAAGGTAGACATGCAGACTGGTGAAGCATTCTGTATTTGGTGTAGTCCCTGAAATGCTATTTATATATTTGCTGACTAGGTCCAAGGTATAGTGTGCATCAGGGCAAAACAGGTGCATCAGGGCAAAATATCACTGAATCTTAGAATATTAGAATTGTGTTGTGCTTTTCATTTTCAGTACAGAAATATTCCTGTAAGGTTATCTATAAAATGACAGTGGAGCTGAGTAATATGAGGAATGTTGTGTGCAAGAGTATTGTTCGTACTTATCTCAGAAATGAGAAAGTGTCAACTTGTATCTCCTTTGTCAAACTTAAATAAAAGTAGAGTTTTGCCTTTTACATCACTTGGAGGTGAACATGGGGATTAAGCATCATTTTAACAAAGGTCTGCTGGTTCAGAGTTTGAATATGTAGAGAAGTAAGGGTGGCATTCCAAGCCAGGTCTTGACATCTATTAGTTTTCTGCCCATATTGGGATTAATTAGCTCAGTAATAGAGGCTAATTATGTTATCTGACTTAGGGAGATGTAATATTTAGAAATAAATATTATTAAAATTATGAAATAGCTGAAATGCCCTTAAACAATCAAGAATGGAACTACTAATAACCAAAGCTAGGACCTAAGAACATTTTCTGGAAACTTTAACATTTGAATATTAGAACCTGTGGAAATATACAATTGGGCTTTGTTTGCGATTCCAAAATGGTTTCATCAATAAAGTTTAAGAATGTGGATTATTCCATTACTTTCCTATTTCCCTGAGCTTTGTAAAAATGCTGTCTCATTAAATGTTTGTTAAGAAATGTTTGTGAACTAAGGCAGTAAAATCCTTATTTTCAGAAGAAGGCAGTGAGCCTAAAAGAGGCAACTGTTCCAATAACAAACAGCTGCGCTTTCAGAGTGAGGACTCCTTCTGAGTTCAGGACACCTTCACTGTGGTCAAACAACTTGGCTAATTGACTGACCCATACTGCCTTCCCTTCATGAGTACTTCATGTTACTCTTTTTCTTCTTGAATTAGAAGCTTAATAAGTTTGTAGAGCTTATGAATTTGGGGTGTATGGGATAATTGAAGTTCTGGTATTAACTCTGATATTGCCTGAAATACACTTAAGAATTTATGTGTTAAATATTTTTCATGTAAGTATTAAAATAGTAATTTTATTTGTTACATTGTTTGTACATAGAATTGTCGAAGAATTTCCAGAGCATACAGGAGAAAAGGGGCCAGAAAATCCTCACTGTAATGATCCAGGTAAGACTTCTGACCAGGAAGGACTCTCATTGGTCCCACCATTGATATGAAAGTAAGAATAATGAAGTTTTTAGCACAAAAGAGCAGTTGAAAAAGTCAGTGTGTAAATTGCATATATTTTTTTTCTTGATTTTCTTTTTTAATAGTCTAGAATTCAGGATTAAGAAGTTATTTGTAGGTAATTTATAATCTCAAGTGGTATTTTCTGTAAAAAATTCATTTATTGAATTATAGTTCCAAAAATCCTTTTTGATATTTTTGCCTAAATAAGAACAAAAGATTTTTGAGTTAATGCATTTCATGTTTCCTCTACAGTCACATTTTAACAAATTATACTCGCTATAAAAATGGGTCTTCTATTTAATTTTCGTAGAAAGTGGTTCTCATTTAGTGCACATTAATTACCATTGATCCTGAACCATGCAAGGGTTAGGGGTACCAATCCCACTTTCAAAAATCTGATTATATCTTTCTACTTTTCAAAAAGGTACCAATAACCTGCTGTGGACTGGAAGCCTTAGGATAACATGAACATTCAATTAACAAGTAGTTTGTATGTTGTATCTCTTATGTGTTATATTCTCACAATGAAGTAAGCTAGTGAAAACTGTTAAGAGGAAAGTCATAAAGAAGACAAGTAGATTTATTATTTAGGAAGCGGACGTGGATCATCATAAAGATCTTCATCTGCTTTGTCTTCACATTGAGTAGGCTGATGAGGAAGAATAATAAGAGAGGTTGATCTTGCTATCTCTGGGTGACAGAGAGGGAAGAAAATTTGCATATGAGTGGACCCTCCTGGTTCAAACCCCTGTTCAGGTGTCAGTATGTCACTGTACTACATAGGGATTTATGTCAAAAAAAAAGGAAGTTTTTTTTTTTTTTTTTGAGACAGAGTCTCACTATTTCACCCACAGTAGAGTGCAGTGGCATCACAGCTCACAGCAAACTCCAACTCTTGGGCTTAAGCGATTCTCTTGCCTCAGCCTCCCAAGTAGCTGGTACCATAGGTGCCTACCACAGCACCCGGCCATTTCTTTGTTGCAGTTGTCATTGCTGTCTTAACAGGCCTAGGCTGGGCTCGAACCCTCCAGCCTTGGTGTATGTAGCTGGTGCCATAACTATTGTGTTATGGACGCTGAGCCAAAGCAAGTATTTTTAAAATTGGGAACTCAAAATATCTTTCTGGTACTATAAATACATGGTAACAAGATCTGCAAATTATGAATATAGCCAGTGTATGCCAGTTCCAATGGAAGAAATTATTGTATTTATTCATTTGGAGACAAGGTCTCACTTGTTGCCCAGGGTAGGATGCAGTAGCATACTCATAGTTCACTGAAACCTTAGACTCCCAGGCTAAGCAATTCTCCTGCCTCAGCTTCCCAGGTAGCTGGGTCTATAGGTGTGTGCCACCACATCCAGATAATTATTTAAATTTTGGAGAGACAGGAGTCTCCCTCTTGAACTTCTGGCCTCATCATGGAGCCATGATGATGTTGATGTTTGGATGTCAGTAGTAGATCGTGTGGAGGACTAATGGGTGGATGGCATACCCAATGTGGATGTGGTGGACAAGGGTATGAGTCACATCCTGGGACATTCTGGGTGGTATGGAGTGGAATGGCTAAAGATTTCATCAAACTATTTGGAAGGGCAAGGAATTTTAAAACTTATGAATTGTTTAATTGTTGACTTTTCCACTTAACATTTTGGGACCATGTGGATAACTGAGACCACAGAAAGCAAAACTGAGAGTGTGATGTTGTGAAATACTTATTTGGTCTTAAATCCTAATGCCTGGTATTCAATGCCTAAGATCTTTAGTTTCCAAAGTGACAGCTTTTTGTAGTAATGATTGACTGATGGCTAGAAGCTCCTGTGCATGTGGTTTTTATACCTATAAACAGAAAGGAAAAGAATGGTAATTTCTGTCAGTTGTGTCGGAATTGCCTTTTCTTTTTTTCCTTGTCTGCAGACCTTCTGATCTATTGTGTGGCCAAACCAAACTGGTGTGGCTTTCTTTCTGTTTGGTCCACTATTTTTAAATGCTAAGAAAACACTCTTGGCAGGTAATTAGTTAATTTTAAAAGACAGATAATTCATCTGAAGAACTGCAAGTTTAAGATGAATGTCCCTGCCATCAGTTTTGGAGACAGCGTGTAAGAGATTTTTATAGTTTCTGTCGGACAGTTCATTAGCAAAGCCATTCTTTCACCAATGCATCTCTTCCTCTTGTATTCATTGCAATATGCTTTCCCTGAGTTCTGTGAGCTTCTTTAGCAAATTAATTGAACTCAAAGAAGTGGGATGCGATTAATCTGTGGGAACTCCAACTTGAAGCCACTTAGTCAGAAGTTCTGAAGGTCCAGATTTGTGACTGCTGTGGGGAGTGGCCAGGCTTGGGGAACCGAATTCCCAGCTGGGGAATATCTGAAGCAACATCCACGTGGATGGTGTCAAGAATTGAATTAGAGGACACACAGCTAGTGTCTGCAGCAGAGTAGATTGCTTACTGACAAGTCGGGAAACTTTCCCCACATTTGGTCACGGATATCCGTGTTGATAATTGCTGTTGTTGTGTGAGACAATAGTTAAAGCACAGTGAGTGTGTTTTTCTACACGTTTATCAGTTAAGGGGACTACTATGTACTTATGATACTGATTCTGCTAATGAGAACATTCCATTTCGGTCTGATAGGGCTTGAATAGTGTTAGGATTATTGTACATAGCAGTTCATTTGTATATATCAAATTTTGATAATCCTATTCTTTTTTGCATTTCATCCATAGAAAGGAGGAGAAGGTAAGGGTTCTTACTGCATTAATTGTCTACTCCTAGTATAATTCACATTGATTCTAGTGTAGTCTCCGGGTCTGGTCCCAAAGGAATACTTGTAACAAGGCATGAAAATTTTCTGCTGTTTTTTATTTAACAAGGTCTACAACATGTACAAAAGTGTGCATTATTTATTGTTTTGTGAAGGTGGAGTCTAAATTCTTCAGACTAGTCTCAAAACTCCCATGTCTTCTAGGGATCCTCTCACCTCAGTCTCCAGAGTAGCTTGAAATTACAGACCACCATGCCCTCTTAGGCTTTTAATATTCTATAGTTTTCTATTATTGATTATAATATATTTTGCTTTTTTCTTTAATAGTGGATGCAATTACTGAAGACCCGGTGTTCAGGTAAGATTTAACAGATTTTTTAGATTATGTGTTAACTGAAGGAATATAACACAAAGAAACTGATGTTTGATGAGTGTTCTACTGTGGGCTAGACACCATATCACGTGCTTAACGTTGATCATGTCCTACAGTCATCTCAAGCACTTTGCAAAGAATCTGTGGCATTGCGTTTTTAGTAATTGGTCAACAGTGGTTCTGAGAGGTTACTTGTCCCATGATCCCATAGTTAACAAATAACTGAGCCATGATCTGACCAGGAGCCTGCCTGCTCCCAAATCCCTCTCTTTGCTCCTCAACATAGACTCCTAGAGATCTGCGCAGCTCTGAAATCCAGGTATAGGTCCAACCCAGATCAACTCAGAAAGTCAAATTTTGTTATATGTTAAGTGCCCTGAAGAGTGTTCCTTAGAAGCCTGGTTAGTCCAAGAGCTAGTCCTAACATATGTATGTTTTTCAATTGCTGGGGTCCTTGTTTTTACCATCAGAAGTGTTATAGCTTGGCACCAGTGGTTAAATTGCTAGCCACGTACACCAAGGCTGGCAGGTTTGAGTCCAGCCCAGGCCAGCTAAACAACAATGACAATTAAAGCCA